ATTTGCACTGAAGTATCTAGGCACTGGCCAGGGCTTGTTCAGCAGGTATCTGTGACCAGAGACATAGTACTTTATAAGGCTCAATACACCATGAAAATGTGGGGTCTCTTATTGTAATATAATAAGAATTCCAAGCAGACCATATATAGCTTTAAGAGATGCATGCACATCAGTTCGGTAGATCTACATAACTACAACCCAAAGTTGCTAATAAAAAATCCAAGTCTATCCAATGATGAATAATTTTTTTCCTGATTCCTAACCATATACCTGTTCAGACAATAGAATTAGCCATCCAGGCAGGAGACTTTACCAGTATGTCTGTCTCAGGTCACCTCTCTTGCCAAATGGGAACTCCTTCTAGATGTGCTGCAGTCTGGAGCTCAGTCTCTCATACCCCTTGCCTGTACCACTCTAGTGAATGGCTACCCATGTCCAGCCAGTGAAAGTCCTGGCTGGACATGGGTAGCCATTTCCTCCTGCTCCTAGGCCTGACTTTAGAGGTACCAAACTAATCAGTATTACTACAGCATAAGGCTACAAATATTTATGGTTTATGCTTATTTAAATTTTTCTTCATTTTCTTCTCTCTCTTTTAAAAATAATCACAGTCTCACTTTCAAAGTAATGGTGTGAACTCAGAAACTCCAACCCTCTCATTTTCTATTGCTGATGATAACAGGAATGTAAATTGCAAGATGTGCAGTTATACCTAAAAATGCTAGCTGTCTTTTAATGAAGAGAAAAGTTTATTCCTGGTAAAAATAGATGGTACGCTGTGCTTTTTGTTGGACCTAACACAGTATGTGTACCTCCAAATGTCATTTTCAAATGTTAAAAACAGCTGCAAAAATTACATCCTTTTATAGTTTTCTTTTTAATTATAACATTTAGAAAATTAGCATTTGGGGCCATGATAATCCCAGTAATGTAAGATAGTGAATTGTACTTGCTTAAAAATGTAGCCACATTTACATACAATTATACTTGATACACTGTCTAGATACTGACAGGCTCACACTTGTATTTTACAGTCTATTGTGGTATGCTAACTGAAATAATTATGGATTGTGGAAGGAAATGCATTTTAAAGTATGATCAGTAAGTATGTGATATTTAACAGAAGTTATATGCTATCAGCAACAATTCCTGTCCCCTCATGTTTAAAGTAAGATCTCTGACTCATGATGCTCTTCTCATATTGTTGGTGACCTTACTTCAGTTAAGAGATAGCACCAAGTAGGGGTTTTTTTTGCTGTTGTTGATTTTTTTAAATTTTAGTCTTTTCTAGAAAAGGGAATTATTATCTACCAGAGCACGCCTCTTCTTTGAATAGAAAATGGCTAAGATGTAGAAACAAGTCATAGAAAAGTCATTTCTCCTCTTCAGAACTAAAATAGGAATCTTCCTAATCAATAGATGCTGCCCTTCTGAAGGGCCAAAAGCTGTGGCTTCAAACATCTGAAGTTGATAGTTGCTGTCGATCAAGTGTCTCCCCCTCTTAATCCTACTCCAGTATTCGAAGCTGAAGATGTCTGCTGTGGAAAGCACTGATGTCATGAGCCCACAGACCTTGTATCCTCCGCCCAGCTGCTTGAAGATCCCAAGTCCTATGCCTAGTGAAGCACTTCTCATCCACTCAACTCATGCACTTACCCATTGCCACTCATCAGCTCTCCTTCCTGTTCTCATCTGCCCTTCCACATGTCTCTTCTGAAGTCTCAGCATCTGTCTAAGCCCTACTGTTATCTTGAGTGACTTAGGTGAACAATTTACCGTGTTGTCCGATTGGCTGGTACCCACTTTGTCAGCATAGAGACTGCTCTGATTTTCTCCTCTATCTTGTAGGCTCCATTTTGACTTCATTTCTTTTCTTGCTCAGTAGCTAATTCGTCTTTAGACTAATACTTGAATTTTTGTCTACCTATGTCTGCATTTGAGCTCTTTTCTGTGCTCCTACCAGCCATTTCCTGCATTTCCTCAGGCATCTCTGTTGAATACTACCGATAAACAAACAAACAAACAAACAAACAAACAATATATCAGCCTGAAAATTGGACCTCTGAAATCAACAATCTCAAAACTTGAGTGATGCCAGTGAGTCTTTCCCCCTCACTTTCTTTATCAGTTCTCTTCTACTATTTATTTTATTTTTGTTTTGGTTTAGAGACAGGGTCTACCTCTAATAGCCCAGTCTGGCTTCTCTTGCCTTAGCCTTTTTATTGCTAGGATGACACGCATGTACAATTCCCTCGCCCACTCGCCCTTTCTCCTCTTCCAAGTAATATCCCTGATATGTATGCCTCTTAGTCTCCTTGCTCTTGGCATGGAATCTTGCTTCTGCCTTCAGAGAGAAGCAGCCAGGCCGAGAACAGCACCCATACTTCCCTTTACCGTCTTTATTTGTCTCCTGGCTTCTTAGTTCACCTTCCCAGCTAGTCTTCAAAACCCCAGGCAGGTGTATTTGTCAAGTTTGAAGTCTTTAGTGAACTTCAAAGGCTTTTTGGAACGTGGTTTCTGATACCCTCCTGTAATCCATGCTTTCCCATGTTACCTGTGGGAAGCGAAAATCTGGTTTTAGTGGTATTTTCTTAAGTTCTATATCATACAAAAGAAAGAAAAACACTTGCCTTGATGCTAGCTTCTCCCATATTCTGGGACATTTTCTCCTGTGTGTGGCACACTGTTGCAGAACAGAGAGGGGCTATAATGTCTAGGATGTGCCATGTCTGCTGGTGTACCTCATTGCCTAACACTGCATTCACTTAACATTTGAAGCTACTGCTTAGGTAGACTGTAAAATCAGATATTATCACTTGTATTTTATGATCTCCCTGTCACCACACAACCCTTAGGAAAAATTGTGGCTCGTAATAAGTTTTGGAACCAAACTTGGATTCTGATGCTGCTCAATACATTAAGCCTCAGTTTCCTGCTTTGTGGTCTGAGGATGATTAATGTGTCAATGTCCTGCAATTTGGGGAACAACATGAAGATTCTGAATGTCTGGGTGTTGGAAACACATCTTAGAAGACAGGCTTTTATCCCAGTCCCTGGCTGCAGCTCTCAGAACAGCCTGCTCCACACATGTTGATGTCAAAGCAGTGGATGCTGGTAGGCATAGAGAGCTATATCACACAGAAGATGAAAACTAAGGTTAAAGGGGATTCTTTTAGGGAAATTTCTGACCTCAAAAGCATTTTAACCAGTCTTACCTTTGACTATGTAAATGTCCCTAGAAGGAATTAGCTATATGTTCAAGTTTACCAGGGGGCTGTGAAGATGGTTCCTGAACTTGAATCTCAGGCACCCACATAAAAATCAGCACAATAGCACATGTGTCGGTCATCCCAATGTGTCCCTACAGGGAATTAGAGAAGGGTAGAGACAGAGAATTCCCAGAAGCTCAAGGCACCCACCTAACCTGACATATACATCAGTGAAGAACAAGAGAGACTGTCTTAAACAAGGTAGGGGGGTGAGGTCTGGCCGCCCCCCACCTAAGGTTATCCTCTGACTTCTATTTGTATGTTACAGCACACATGTTCCTAAATACACACACAGAGAGAGAGAGAGAGAGAGAGAGAGAGAGAGAGAGAGAGAGAGAGAGAGAGAGAGGGAGGGAGAATAAAAGAGAAAGAAAGAGAAACACAACACTAAAAATATTTACTAGGGGGGCTGGAAGATGGCTCAGCGGTTAAGAGCACTGGCTGTTCTTCCAGAGGTCTTGAGTTCAATTCCCAGCAACCACATGGTGGCTCACAGCCATCTGTAATGAGATCTTGCGCCCTCTTCTGGCCTGCAGGGATACATGCAGACATTACACTGTATAATAAATAAATAAATAAATAAATAAATAAATAAATAAATAAATAAATAAATAAATCTTTAAAAAATATTTACTAGGAATGATCATATCATACCTACTTAATGCACAGCCATATGGGCTGGGTTCCATGGTTACCAGTTATCTGTCTCCATGACTGATCTTGTGTGGACACCTATGCCTATACTAAGCTACAGATTGATTATGTTCACTTGACATAGCATAAATATCAACAGAAACAATTTTCAGTGAAAGGTAAGTTCTTGTATTTTATATCACAAATCTGAACAAGACTTACAAAATAAGTCAACAGAGGGTGCTTTGGAAGCAGGTTGTTATGGATTCAATGCTGGCTCCACCACACATTACCATTGTGACCTGGAACAAGTTCTGGAGACATCCAAGCTTTGGGTTCCTTGTCTGTAACTTGGAGATACAGTTTGCAGCCTTAATATTCTTAGAGGACAAAGGGAACAGCCCGTGCCAATCAGCATGACTGTTCTTGTGCCCTAGATGCACAGTTGTGCTTACAAAAGCAACCAGACACCTTCTAGCCCCAATGGAAGTGAGAAGAGATCCCTTTGAATCCTATCTTCGAACACTGTAAAATCATCTGTGTTGCCAGTTTGGATCTGCACATGGTCCATGGAAGATAGTTTATGGTGTGTTGTTCCCTAGTTTAGCTTTGCAGCAGTATCTGCCATCTACAACAGAGAAATGTGTATATTCGAGCGTTACAATTCATGGTGTTCAATTGAAAAGTGAAACCTATTTCCTCATGTCAGGGAAATTGGCTTGTGTTGTCAGAATTTAAAAATTCTACATGACCGGCTTTCCATTATTTTGTTACTACTGTGTGACTTTGTGTAGTCTCATAGACCCCACTGTCACTCAGCACATCTGAGCCTCTGAGTAGCGTTACTATGATACAGCACTAAAAGAAGGGCTTTGCTATGCACAGTAACTATTTGTGCTCAGTAGTCAACCAAGTGTGAAAAACAGCAAGCTAACTTTCTGGAGCGTTTGCTTCATGCACTTACTGGGAAATGTGTTATTTGATCTATGCATGACCATTGCCTTTTAAGTACCTTACTGCTTTTCTCCTGGTGTTTCTTCCTGTTGAATTGTTTTCTTAATGGATGTCTGTGCTCTCTCCCATCTACCTCCCTGGCAGTCTTTTCCCTATAAAAGGACCCATCTGTCTAAGGTAGATTCTCCTTCTTACTTACTCATCAGTGACTAAGCTGCATGGAATAGACATGCTTAGCATTTAGAAGTTGTGTTTAATTCTGTTTTTTTTTAACTACAGTAATATTTTATTTTCTTTCAAATCAAATCTGTTCTCTTCAGTCTAAGTTCAAACACCTAAATTATATCTAATTTCTAATCATAGTGATAGAGCAAAGAATGCACTTTAAACTTGCTAATCCATAGTAATTAAAGCAATAGACAAATCTGTGCTCCAGTGTGTTAATCTGTGTGCAGAGAGAAAAGCTCCTTTATGGAAGTGACATATTTTCATTTGATTTCACCAGACTTGAATTTGAGAGACAGCAGCGTGAAGAACTTGAAAAACTGGAAAGCAAAAGGTAAGTTGTGAGGCCCACATGTCAAGCTGCTGTCTGGGATGCTCTCTCAGTATCCTTCTTGAGTTCACGTCTTCTGTTTCCATGGTTCCCTCTAGCTCTGAGCCTGCTATTTACATATCTAATGCCTGCAGGTACTTTCTTATAAGGGATTGACTTTACGTCATCTTTCAATTTTCACAGCAGTTCATCTTCAAATACTTGTGAGAAAAGGGGAATAGTCAGTAAATTAAACATCTGAGCTCTGTTGAAATTTAACCTCAAATCTTTTCTTAGTATTCTTGGGTTTTTAAAAAGTCACGAGTCTATAAAGATAAAACATCAAAAGCATTTTCCTTCCTAACAACCCATCTCCAACCTTTTAATTAAGTAAAATAAGATTTATTTATTTTATTTTAAGTATACACATATTTTGCCTGCACATATCTATGTAGTTTTCTCTCCTTGTCCCGCCAAGCCTGGGCAGTCCCTTAGCCCACTTATAAAATAAGCATACAGACGCTTATATTATTTAAACTGCTTGGCCATTAGCTCAGGCCTAACATTGTGTAGCTCTTACTCTTATATTTAGTCCATTTCTATTAGTCTATCTATACTTTGCCACGTGGCTCGTGGCTTACTGGTGCCTTACATCTTTCTTGTCCTGGAGGCGGCTTCATGCAGTCTCCTCCTTCCCTTCCTGTTCCCTTAATTCTCCTCTCTGTTAGTCCCGCCTATACTTCCTGTCTGGCTACTGGCCAATCAGTGTTTTTTTAATTAACATATTTGCCATACAGAACATCCCACAGCATATCTATATGTGCACTATATGTTTGCTTAGTGCCCACAGAAGTCAGAACAGAGCACTGGATGCCCTAGACCTGGAAGTGGAGTTACAAATGTTTGTGAACCCCCATGTGTGACTTGTGAGCCCTAATCCTCTGGAAGAACAGCCAGTGCTCTTTATTCAGAGCTGTTATCTCTCCTCCCCACTGTGTGTGTGTGTGTGTGTGTGTGTGTGTGTGTGTGTGTGTGTGTGTGTGAGAGAGAGA